CACGGCAATGGTGGAGGATAATAGAGCAAAAAACTATTTGCTTGCAATTGATACATGGCTGACTGTTAGTTATCAACAACAACCAAAAAATTAATAAACAAAACATTTAAAAACAATAAAACAATAAAATTATATATCTAAAAATACATGCGCGATCACAGCGTATGTAGTAGTCATTAACATACTTGTTGATTTATCTCATACATGAATACAACTACACTACATGGCAGCTAGTTAGCCTCATTTTTGACTTGAAAAATAAGGCAAGACAATCAAACACGGCCGCGGCAGAATGCGTTCATTGTATTCAGATCGCTTACATACTACCGAATAGCTGAGCCGCTGAAGGGAAGACTGACGCTTAGCGAATGAAAAAATTTCTAAATTGTTTCACTGTTTCGATGCTCTTCATTCATATGTTAAAGTGCGATCCAAACTTCGAATTTCTAGGGGATAAATTTGTTGAAAGATATCACTGATGATAACAGTTTCTATGAAGAGAGGAAGAGAACAAGAGAAGGTTGATTTTTAAAGGATCTAAAGTAAAAAATAAATGATCCAAGTTTTTCTCTGCAATGGCAGACTTCATTAGATAGTAATTCACGATTCGATCGCCGCGTTCAGCTTCTTTAGGAATTGTCAATACTTATGCAACTACTTTCTAGTAGGCACTTGAGATCGATATATTTGCTTGTAGCGCAACGAATAATATCAAACTTCACAGCGGGAATTTCAAATCGCTCCACATTCATTCCGTATACCTTTGGCTTTGGATGAATACACTCCAAAACAGTGTTAAATTCTAGGATGTTTTAACCATGTCTAGGGACTTGCATTGAAAACATAGATATTCTCAGTTTATAGCGTAGTATAGGCCTGTCCTTTAACCGATTTGCTGCGTCTTCAATAATAATCTCTGTGTAAGAATTTTCAAGCTCTTGTATGGCAAACGCATCCCAAATCTTTTTTAAAATGGAAAGAACGTATACCACAGACAGAGAGATCGACAAAGAGTAGGGCATGCCTTACTTTATAGGTTCTCCGAAACTTTCTTCTTGGCGTTTTGGACGTTCTGATAAAACGAATATACTCGTAGCTTTCTGACGTTGGGCTTAAAAAACCAAAATGTTGCTATGTCTCCATTGATGAGGGACGTAGGAAACAGGAAACATCGATTTGAAATTTTTTTAAAAACATATGTTAGGATCTGAGAGGCTCTGTTAGTCAATTGAACCTGATAGTACTGCCAGGCAGAATGGTGCGTGGTGCGTTTATCCGCGGATGTAGTCAGGCTTGAAGAAACAGTGTCCTGGTTGATGCTTATCAAACATCAATTTAAAGATTTTATCCGTTAGGCTTTGCGCAACGCATTCAAAGAGCGGACTACCACATAATCTAGTAACTATATTCTCATATCTCTCTCTCTCTCTCTCTCTCTCTCTCTCTCTCTCTCTCTCTCTCTTCCCCTCTCTCCCTCTCTCTCGCACGAAAGTTCGAGTCCCGATTACTGGTGCGATAAACATACTTTCACTCACATAAAATGCTAATAATTATTTTAATGAATATACTAATGAAAATTTCATAAAAGCCCGAGCTATGCATCGTAACTACATTTAAAATAAAAAATAAAAAATAAAAAAAAACAAAATCTAATGTGTGTCTATCCATTTGATACCCACTGTGCAGATGTATACCTCTGTGTACTATTTTCAACTGGATTTGTCATTTTTATTGTGTGCGTATGTGTTTGTTGCTTATTTCTATAAAACATACACGCTTAATATCTCTATGCATATATTTGTTGCTCTATTTGTTTTTGTTGAAATGCTCAGTGAAGTGGGCGGCCTTCGTCAGTTTTTACCATAAACTGAAATGAAGTCATAAAAATTTCTACTTTATGCCACCGTAAGGAGACATAGCCGATGTCATGGCATTGTTCTTAAACATCGAAAATTATAAATCAACGTGTTCCATTTTTTTTACGCCGCTTACTTCGCTGACTGACTGACTGACTGACTGCAGGTAGACGTTGCGTCTGATAAGACATTTTTATGGCATGCATATGTATACATATATATATACACACATATATATATATATATATATATGGACTGGTACTTAGTAGGCCATTAAGTGATTAGTGGCTGCGAAAACATACCGTTAGATTGCGGTTCACATAACTTTGAGGTAAATTGCGGTGGTAGTAAAACAATTAAAAACACATATATATGTAAGAATTTATAAACAAACGCATTGTATAAGTGTCTTCATAGAGCTACTTTTATGATATGTGAAAGCCTGTATGCTTGCCTGTCAGTCTGTTTCGAATATACGCTATATACATCAATATATATACATATACATTTATGGCTCGTTTTATTTTCATTTACTCACTTGCCCTTTTTCGTTAAGCATCCCGAACTTTACTCAAAAAGTCAGAAATTCATTTTTTGTTTTCTTTTGTTTTTTTTCGCTTTGCTATATAGTCTTTTGAAAAACTCAACGCAAAGTTTCGTACAATTTTTTTCGACTATAATTGAAGGCTTTACTCTTTGATTTAATTGTTATTTACATTTGAAAAATTATCTTTTTTACGGATTTTTCTCCCTCTCGCTCTTTCTCCCTCTTCGCCTACTCGCTTACTTGTTCATTCTTTCTTTGCATAGCTTCGCATGTCTTCGCATGTGTAAGAAAATCAGTTCTGCGTTGTCCTATTAATTTATTATGCAATGTTTACTTTACGTATTGCTTCCATATATAATTTTGCAGTGTGCGAGAGAGAAGATTGCAGTCCCGTTGGTTAGTATTATGAATAAAACTAATTATATGAACATGAATTTGAAAATATGCCAAAAATTTTTTGGCAAAGCCTAAAAAAAGATCCACTTTAGAGAACTTCAACTTTCTACATTTTAAATAAGATTGACTACAGTCTCTAGGGCCTTGTCAAACTTAGTGTCAAGTGCAAAAGTATGATGTATTGTTGGTTTTTAAAAAAATATCACCTAACAGTCAACATTCACATTTTCCAGTCGCATAATATTTTCGTGTACTCTCGGCTTTTGATGACTCAATAAACATGACTCAATAAGCACGTACCACGTCATCTGTATATCGGATGACTAAAGACGAATCCATATGATTCCTAGATAGTATCAGCCCTCACAGGAAATGGGTCAAAGTATCATAACATTCCGATCAATAAGTTACAGTTGTTGTAATGACATTACACGCGAAGTTAAAGTTTTTCCATTAGATTAAAAACAAAAGTAGCGCCACTAACGCAGTTGAAACGTGTAAACTTACGGTCGACATGTTATGCAATATTAACACATTTCCCTTGAAAGTTGGCACTATCTAAAAATGAAATATGTGGATTCATCAATAGTGGTGACATCTCGTTGTCAGTTTATGAACATATTGAGCGATATTTCAACGCGTTTCAATTTCTCACGTAAATGAGTGAATTTCTTCTGTAGAATTTCACCGTTAGGCCGCACAACTGTCTACAATTAGTAGTCAAAGGATGCATTAGGTATACGACTTCATTTTTCTTAAGGTACTTCATTCGAATGTAGGAAGAGTTAATCAATGATTACATTGGATCGTAATTGGATCTGCATTCTTTCTCTCAACCAGTATCTATCAGTATTCTAGCAATCACGTGCGAGAAAGAGAGAAGGAAAGGAAAGAAATCCACCGAAACTCGCTGATATTTTTCATTTTAATTTATCATAAAATAAGTCCAAGGAAGTTTAAGGGGATCCGTGCTGCACCCGAATTTTAACAGCTCTCTTGCTTTATTGCTTTATAACATCTTAGCTAGAGATTCACTAAATTTCAATTATGGAAAGCGTAGGTACAAAAAACATTTCATCTTCCAGTTCTTTCAAGTTCCGGTTCTTGTTCTATTTAAATGCACAAAAACTACAGCTCCCTCAATTGTCGTTTTTTTTAACAAATCCAATGATTTCAATGATTCCAATATTGCTTTCAAAATCTCGAACTATTCTTATTGGAAAGAATTTAAAAACATTAAATATGCCTGTCTTTTAGACATTTTCTTATCCTCTACATACCTTTGGATTTACCATGCTATGCTAACACAATTCTCCTACCATCAATGCTCAAACCAACACAGTGTTCAGTTCTCAGGTATGTGAAAACAGAAGGAAAATAAAAGAAAAAATCCAATCAAAATTCTTGATGAATACTAAAGATATGCAAGAAGAAGTCGAATAAAGTGCTTTACATAATATCTAATTTGCTTACATGCATGGGTATGTATACACGTGCGTATACACAATCCCATTAAATATTCTAACACAATATTCGTTGCATTAAAATAGCTTAAGAAAAATCCATCTGCCAAAAGAGAAAAAATAACAAATTGTTTTGCTTTCTTCTTTTTCCGTAGTATATGTGAAGAGTAAATATTTTTAAATGGCGCCAAACTTTTGCAAGAGAAAACAGGTGCATTTTTTAGTAGAAGAGAAAGAGTAACTAAGATAGAGAGTTTCTGTAAAGTAATTTCGAAAGAGAAGTTTCCTAACCAACACTTTGACAAATATCTAAATTTAAGAGACTTAATTTAAGAGAAATTCACACATACTAATGTTGAAAAATTTGAGAATGTATTAGTGAGCGAGATTTTGCTAAAAGAGCAATGTTAAGAGAAAATACTCATTGGATTTTAATATTTCAAAGGCTAAGAATTTGCATTTATTTATTTATTTAACTAAAAGGGAAAAAAAGGCCACTGTTTTCTCTTATAAGCGACAGTATAACCGCGTTTCCAAGAAGACTAACACCTTACGTTCGTGTAGCTACATGTTTAGACCATTTTAGCTTTAAATTTAGTTTATACACTAATCACGGTTGAAAGCTTGGCTCATATTTTTATTCTGTCCTTTTTGTAAAGCATACTGCGCGCTATTGCGCTTGTCCTTTAAGAAATTCAAAAACAATTTGGATGAAAAAACAAATTCCCGAATACATACCTGAGCATGGAGTAGCAACCCCTCGCATTTGTAAGCGAATCTAACGCTCATTATATTTTCACATCTGTTTACCTTTTCACTCTTATCCACTATTCATATGAAAGCAGCACAATATCGTTTTTCTTTTAATAAACAAGGCAAGTGAGAGAGAGAGAGAGAGAGAGAGAGAGGAAGGTGCCTATAAGAAAAACTCTTGAATTACTCTCTTCTTCTCAAATGCGCATAATGACTGCGTTATCGTGTTTTCTTTTTTTTAAGTTCTTTTAAAACTTTTTCATTCGAGTTATTCGTATAAAATTACAACGCACTGTGTGTCAATTACTCTGATCAAAGAAACAAAAAAAAAACTTTTATAAAAAATATTCGATTAAAAAGCGTCACGTTATTTATTCTATGGCTCAATGCGAATAGTTATAGGAATGCAATGAAGACAAATTAAGATTCGTGGACGAGAGGCAAACAAACAGTCAGGTAAGCAGAAGTACGCACCATCAAAACTATCACGTATACTAAGTGCATCTCATTCACTCTTGATCATTATGGCTGCCGTAGCTATGGCATCGATAGCTCGCTCAATGCAATGGCCGGATAGCGCGGTTAAATGTTTGGCCATTCTCACATTTAAGTGAGTGTGCCTTCGTTGTGTGTGCGTCTTGCTCTAACATCTCATCATGGCTGCGACGGCACATGACTAGTGTGTGTTTGATTTAATTTTCAATTCTTTAATTTCTGTACTTTTATATGCATATGCAAAAGTTTAACCCGACGGTTTCGTTTATTTCATAGAAATTTATTTTTATTCGTTCTATGATAGATATCATGCAACATAAATAGTTATGAAGAATATACGAATATACGAATATACGCGTATGTCTGTGCTTGTAAACATTTTCAGTCTGTAAGACTTTACAGCAAAATATAACAAAACAAATTTGTGTCATAAATGTGATCATATAGTCTTTAATTTCCTGAGGTACTGTACTGTTATATAATTAAACGTTATGCTTAAGAATTTGGGAGACTTTCTTCTCTTAAGTGTATTGTATATGCGAAAGTTTTTTACAGAAACGAAAAAGACAAGGAACAGTTCAATAACGTATTAAAGTGTGATGGGCCTTGACGTGCTATCGCCTCACTTAACCCAAAACTCACAGATAGCCAATGTCCTTTGATTTTGTTTCTAAAAAATTTTCATTTCCATAATACTTCGTTCATATAAACATATAAACATATTTTTGTTGTTTCTCTTATACCCTATGAGGCAATTTTATCGATATTTTAATATTTATACCTTAATAATCGTTACGAATAAAGCGCGTGCAGACTTAGCCCAAAAAATTGACCGACTTTTGAGAGATCAATTCTGATGATACTCTTTGATGTCCCATTTACATGAGTTGTATCTTAAGTGAAGGAAGTAGTCCTACAAATATGGGGTCGTGAGAAGATCAAATGTCGAACACATATCCATTGAAGTCATATAAATTGATTACTACTGCTACTCGTACATTGCATCTATGTACTAAGGCCAAGTATATTTTAGACTGATGTATGCACATTTACGCAAGTGCGGTGGAGTTTTCAATACGGCAAGCATATGATTTAACTTGGCCTTAGCTTTTAAATGCTTCCAGGCTTTGCAAATTTATTTAGAAAATATGTGGACAATAAATAAATACGCAAAAAATATGACAAAGCGTAAGTAGCATATACGTAGTTTATGGGGTACATGTTGGGATTGCGTGTACGTTGAGAAGTGAGCAAAAGGCGTTTCTTAACTGCTATAATTTGTTTTAATTTGATATATTCAGTAAAATTGATCTTCGAAGGAGGAAAGGAAGGCTAGCAATCATCTTCGAACGATTCCTTGCCTCCTTCTTTCTGTTTCTCTCCCACTTTCTCTCTCCTGAGTTATAAAGAGCTAAGTATATTGCTAATAAATACATTAACGAAAACAGAAACTTTCCAAAAAACTTTGCTTTCAACATTGGACTGTATACCAATAATGTTATTCAGTTGCAACAGGCAGGTGATGTAATCGTGTGTGTGTTGTTTAAGCCTTTCCCAATTTTGTTACGGTTGTCTTCTTTTCTAAAAATATTACAGATTACTTAAGCGGGCGCGTAACACACGAAAGCGTGTTTATATAAATATATAATCGGTGGCGAAACATTTTCTAGCCACGATGATGTGATTAAAACCACTTTGGCAAACTTTGTTACTTAACATTAACTTCTACTTCTTCTTCTTCTGCTTCTAATTCGGATTTCAAATTAATTAGAACTCTCTTAACTTCAGATATCACTTATTACCAATTATTAAATCAAACCAAAAAAAAAAGTGACTCCCATTTATGGACTGGGCCTACTTATGCGAAGTTATTGCTGCTATGGATTGTAATTTGAACTTCTTTGTCTACTGCGGATATGCTTCTAAACAATTTCGCTTCATTTTGAAACTCTATCTGTGAATAAGAACATTTGCCATCTCTAGCGTTCTAAGATCGCATTAAGTATAGGTGGACATAGGGCGCGACACAATTAAACGAATTCATACCATTTACTGACCATGTACGATACTATGTCATGCCCCTGATGCATACATTAAAGGGACGGATATATTTAGCGTTTAGCGCTGGTACATATAAAACGGGGTAAACGCTCTTCGCGCGATCGCGGGGGGAATTAGACGACAAATTGCAGCTGAAATTATAAAAGACCTTTAAAGAAAATAAGTAAACACATTACAACGGACCTTACGTCACTTCGCTTAACAAGAGTATCCATGTAACGACTTGTCAAAATAAGACGTTACATGAAGTCTGAGACAAAACATTGTGAAAGCGGGCGTGATTGGGCCACAACAAATACCTCGGCGTTCTAAATTTCTTAAAAACATCTCGAAAATTGCGATATGTAGGTGAAGCACAAGAGAACCAGATGGACAAACTAACAAATTCATTAAAATGTGGCCTATCCCAAGTCTTTCTGGGTGTTGTACACGTCTGCACGAACTCCATATACCCTTGCAGCCCAAGCGTTGTAACTAATCATTTTACCAAATTATCCTTCGCATGGCATCTAGTTTGTTAGAAATGTCGATAGAAGAAATAAAAAAATTCCATTCACTCACTGTTTCGTTTACAATTCACAAGAAATTATTTAATTAGCTTTTTCTTATCCTTTGATAACGCAATTGGTGTCCAAGCTCCTGACTGGCAAACCACCTTTCCAAGGCCGTTAAAACTTTAAATGTTTAAGTAACTCATCTTCACATATATATGTATGTATATATATATATATATGTGTGTTCTTAATTATAAACTTTTCAATTTGAAGTTAAGAAGTTTCTTTACATTTAACTAAAGACTGATAAATGGATCCAACTAAGTGGACTGGAAGTATAAAAAGAATCGACCTTTTCAGATAAGCAAGACTATAAAATCAGTAATAAATCAAATTTGTCTAATTCGCTTTCTGAGAAATGCATTAAAAAAGCTTTCTACTTATCCTACATTGCAATAGTAACGATTATCGTTAAAGATTATTGCAAACTGTAGCCAGTTTACCTTCTAATGAATGAATGCAAGATAAAGAAACCTGATTAGTACAATGTTGCAAATATTTACTTGAAACTTGGAAGCGATTCAAAAGTAATTCAATGCTGTTGCGTGAACAAAAGCAATTCACTCTGAATTGTATTTTTTTCGACTTGTGCCGACTCTTGGTTGTTTTGCAACAAATAAATGAAAATGAAGTTAAGAAACTTTTCACAGTACGCTATACATTTTACTTTGAGCTTAGCTGCGCAAAACATGACATTTTAATTGAACACGTTTTTGTGAAATGCTGATATATATATACTGACTGATATATATGACTGTATTATGAAGTTTTACTATTACTAGCAAGCATTTATACCAAATTACTATTAAACTGCATTAAATGAATGAAAACTGAACGCTATTCTCGTATATAATTTCCAGTTATATGAAAATCTTGCTCGAACACGAAAGCTAAGAAATAATGACGATACGGAAAGTAAGTTGAAATGCTTGCATACTAATGAAATTGGGCGTATTTTACTTTACTTTAATGTGTTGTGTAAATGGTTTCGCATTAAGCTGCCACAACACAATCTTACACAATTGCAATGCGAGGCAGGCGGCTTAACAGCCAATAATTTGTTCTTAGATAAACGAACTGTTTTATCTGTTACACATCCATATACATATACCGTCGAGGCGAACAGTGTATTATTATATCGAGAGCATACACCTTCCTAAGTATAAATATATTCGAAAAAGTACATTTACTTCTAACACTGTATTACATTTTATCAACGACTGGCGAAGCCTTAAGTCGAGTAACGGCACGAGGGGCATAATATGCAGGAAAAATTAGCGAAATAGCAGCAGCTGCAGGATTAACTTTATAGCGATATATACGAGAGACTGAGAGAAAACTAGATAATTATTTGGCAGTATTTTGGTGTCTCTGAACTGCGAAGTTTAATGCTCAACTGCAAACAATATAATCTACATACAACAATAATAATTTATCAACAAAGTATAATAATTTTTCCTCTTCTTTTCTCTTCCTCTTCTGTGACGCTACACCACACATCACATTTATTCTGAATTAATGCGATTATTCACGTAAAGCTTCTACATATTATAACGTCTGCATCTGCCTTGAAACCTTGAATACTCGTACGGTGCCCATATGATGGCTGCCGATGCTCCCCAGGTCGCAAGACAGGTCTTGCAAGTGAGAGGGCATGACATGATTCAAACTCTCTCCTCTGGGTAAGATGAGGTCTATTTGAACGGATTTCAGGTAGCCGTAGCCAACATACGTACTCCCCGAGGAGCCGTATCCAGCAGTCAAGCCTCCCGCATCATTTCCACTGAAGCCTGTGTGCGATTATGTGCAATAAATGAATATTCGAAAATCGGGAAATCCATGTTTTATTTTAGTTTTTTTTTTGTTCGACATCCCTTTCTCACCATCATATCCTTATTAGCCTATTTTTGAAGCTCGTTTAGATACATAGATGTGGTCACAAATATGAAACTTGTTCTTAGCCTAAAAGAAAAGACCGCTCGCGTCATAGCCCATAACTCTCAAATAAGTTTATGATGGAGCTGCAAAATTTTCAAAGTCTGTCCATGTCCATCTGTCCGTCCATTGGCCTTTCGCCAGCCATCTCTCAAGCAAAAGGAGGCATCGACTTCATTCGCGTTCATTCGTTTAGATGAACATTTAAAGTAAGCTTAAAATTTCTCCAAGGCCAAAAAATGAATATCAAAATATTATAAATTGTTATACGAGTTGCTTTTGTCCTAAGATGGCGCAGCTCCCTAAATGTATGCAAAGCCTTCCCACATATCAAATCACGCGAAAAGTTTTGCATCCATCTTTGATTCCAAGAACAATACAAACGTAGTGCGATGAAGT